CTGACGAAACACCAGTATGCCAGGCTTCGAAAAGCGCTCACGACTTACTTTTGGAAAAACAAAGCAAACTCCCAAGGCTGTATGAATAGAGTCGCCTGGGACATCCTCACCCAACCAAGGGCCAAAGGGGGATACTCGGCCCGGAAAGGGAGAGTGACGCCCTAATGTTCAAGGTGCTGGCCAGGCTGCTGCTAGGGAACGATATCCCCTGGAGCCCCCTGGCCTGTATACAAATAGCCAATCTGTCCCCGCAGCCATTGACTGGAATCAGAGTGCACCCGTTCCGATCGCTGACCAACAGCCACTGGACAATCCCGCGCCCGACCCAACAGGGACAGCTGGGGGCCACTCAGGACCAAGCGGCCAGACAGGATATCTCGAATGATCCTTTATGGCCGTGTATGATCAAACTCTGGCGAAAGCGTGGCCCGTCGCTCAAACGCCCACAAAACAGGTGGCACACGGTGTGGCGACAACCACTTTTTGGCAACCCCCACATCCTGGATCATGCTGGTAATCCCTTCCCCCTCACCACGACCTCGCACTGGTTAATTTGGGCAAGGAAAGGGATTTTTACTGTGGGGGACCTGTGGGACCCTAGAGCGAATGACTGGGTCACCCCAACACAAATGCAGGCCAGATTGAAGCATGTTAAGAATGTTGATGAGAAACTGGCCCAGTTAAGGGAGGCCCTGCCTTTGGCCTGGCGAGTCACCCTTACTACAGGGCCTACGGTCCAACARCATGATTGGGTTGTCAAATACGCCGACCTCCCCCGCCCGTCTGCAGTTTACCAAATACACAAGAATGAAGGTGGGAAGTGTCAGTTGCAAGCCTACACCTCCGTCCTGCAGGGGGCCCGTTTCTCTAAACTTACTAGGAATGACGACCTCGACACCTCTGAAGACTGGGGTGGTCTCATGATCATAAGAGTGGTCGGTGACCCGGATAACGGTTACTACGCCTACGAGCCGGCAGTGCCAGTGGCCACACTTCCGTTCGACCCGGACGAGTGGGAATGACCCGGTCAAAAACCCACACACCTATGGGATTACACAGTTCGGAAGGGGTATAAAGTGTCCCGCCAGGATCTGCCCATCAACCAAAGACTGCTGCAGAGATGGGAGCGCGACTCGCCTATCGATACAGCCCTGATCCACAGTCCATCTTGGGATACCTACTCTAAAATAATGCCGACMTCCCTCAGGGCCCTGCAGTGGCAAATCTTGCACCGTTGCCTCCCCACCCCAGACTGGCTGTTGACCCACACAGACCTTGAGCAGAAAGGCCTCCTTTCTCCTATTTGCACCTATTGCTGCAGGACCACGCAGCCGGCCAGGGCCACATTGGAACATTGCCTGCTGGCATGCCCTATGGTCGCTCAGCTATGGAGATGGTGGGATGCGGCCTTCCACGCTTTGTCCACCTTCCATATCCCCTGGGATCTGGGGCTCATCCTGCTCGGCAAGAATAATCATCTAATGGCGCAATGGACCMCCTTCGCCACCAATCTCTTCACCTATACGAGACTGTTGGTGCTTATGTTGGCTTGGCGAGCGAGGTGCTCCTTTGAAAGAAAGGAACACCAATTTGGGCTTCAACATGCACAACAAGCTATTGAAGAAGACATAAGAGCTCGAACAGCCGAAGCCTGTAGGATAATGCAGCAGGAGTGTATGCAGGAGAAAGACCCGGTTGTCAGACAGGCTCTTCGAGAGTCTTATCTCCAAGTCTGGCAGGATCCCAAACAAGCCTTCTCTGAAATAAGGAGTGAGGGTACCATCTGCTGGAACCCCTGGAGAAGGAAAGAGGCCGACTGGAATAGATGATCGTTGGGGGACTTCCAGGTCTTGTACCTCCCAACTAACTTCGTGCTTCTACCGTCCCCCTCTACCTAAAACTTCTGCCCTCATTCTGTGTTCACCGGGAGATGATCGTACCCCTTCCCATGCCCTGTCCCCTCCTCCTCCCCTCACCCCCCCCTGTTTCCCTTCTCCCTTTCTCTTTTTCTGCAGACTGGAGATCAACAAGGGTAACAACAACAGGCGATCGGGCCAGCCAACGGCTGAGTGATGAGCGTTGCACCAATCCAAGCAAATGGGGACATGGGAAGAGCTGCTACAAGGGAGTGGAGGCTGCCGAGGGGGAGCGCCGACATCAGAACTTCAAATTCTCAACTGCATGAGTTGGGGACAATAGCATACTTACAATTTTTGTGTGGCCTACTATCGTGGCTAGATTATCAGCAAGAACAGCTGCTCTCAGTAACAGAATAGCCGCGTCGCTAGTCAGGTCACATGGTAGATGAAGCAAACCATGCCTGGATACACCCGACTGCACAAGCTGGGGACAATAGCACACTTAGGTCTCTTGTGTGGGTGCTATCGTAACTAGGTCAACAGCGACAACGATTGCTCTCAGTAACAAGATAGCTGCTTTGCTGCTCATGTCACACGGTAGATGAAGCAACTGTAGCTTAATGACGTCGTCAAACATGTCTGTGTACACATTCAAATTGTATCAGGGGGACGCTGGACCCGATTTCCAGCAGGTGCAGCTCCCCACCAATAGATGGAGCCCTGGACGGATGCTAGTGGTGTCTGCTCGTATCAGCACCACTAGCAGACCGGCAGGAGTTCTCTCAAAAAAAAAAAA